GCAGAGCCCTAACACTGAATCCCTAACCTGTGGCCTTAGAGTTGTTATGGGTGGAAGGGCCAGGCATAAGTGTCCACACCAAAGTGTTCAGTTAGAAGCAATACTGCAGGGCGCCTGGGTGGCTCAGTTGGTTAAGCGACTGCCTTCAGCTCAGGTCATGATCCTGGAGTCCCGGGATCGAGTCCTGCATTGGGCTCCCCCTGCTCGGCAGGGAGTCTGCTTCTCCCTCTGACCCTCCCCCCTCTCATGTGCTCTCTCTCTCACTATCTCAAATAAATGAGTAAATCAAATCTTAAAAAAAAAAAAAGAAGCAATACTGCACTCCAGAGGAATTGCAGATACTTGTTCAAGCCTCAAAGACTTGGAAGATGCAGGGATATTACCATCTAGAACTGTGTGCCACAGGCGAAAATTTTAGGTTTTGGAAACAGAGATTCCCATCTGTCCTGGATAATGTTGCTGATCTCTTTGTTATATGTCCTGACTACACTGACTTCCATTGGTAGCTTTTAATAAGTAAACCTGTTTAATTTACCCAAGCAGTATCTTTTATCTGAACATGCTGGTGATATTTATCGACATGGTGTTCACACAGTAGGTCATGCATTACAAATATATTTTTCCAGTGTGTGGCTTTTCTACTTTTGCTGTGCTATATTTTACCCTTCTAAAAATTTATCTTAATGTATTCAAGTTACTATTAGTATTTTCCTTTCTGTCTTTTACTGTTGTACCTTTTAGGAAAGGCTTTACTTCAAGACCATAAATACATATATGTTAGAATAATAAATACATGTTAGAATTTCTTCTACTATTTTACAACTATTTTATATATATTACATATATGTTATACGTAGAATTATTATATAAATTACATATTACTCTGTGAGTCTCCTTTTACTGTATTGATTAGAATTTAGTTTCCTATGGATTCTGCCTCAGTGTCTAAGGTTTTAGTTTGGCTACTTCTGTCTCATGGTTGACAGTATATAATCATTGTGATGATTTGTGCAGCTGAGATCAGATGTAACCTTCTTTACTCCAATCCATCTTTTATTCTGCCATTATAGTTTCCCTTCTAAAATATGTCAAATACAGAGTGGATTGTGTTCTTTTCTATTTGGGACTATTTGAGGGTTCCCAAGTGAGTAATTATATTAGCAAACATTTGTATAGCCCTTACTATGTGCCAGGCACTATTTTATGGGTTTTACACATATTAATTCGTTTAATTCTAAACAAAACAAAACTGAGTTAAGTAGGATTATTATTTCAATCCATTTTACAGATGAGGAAACCACAGCACAGTGAAGTCAAGCAACTTGGAAGAAGTGGGAATTCAAACCATGCTTTCTGGCTCCAGAATTTGGGCTTTTAATCCCTACTGTTTTTAATTATACTCTTCTTCTAACCTAAGGTTTCCCACTGAATACAGAAGTAAGTCAAAGTTTCTTAGCACACTTTCCAACTACCTACTATATTTGATCACACTTCTCTTTCTGCCTCACCTTTTGCCCCTGGGTCTACTGTAGTCTTTGGTTCACCACACTGGACAGATGATTTATTTAACTCGTCGTGTATGTTTATAACTTTGTACCTTACTCAGGCTTTTTTCTCAGTCAGTGGTATCCTTTTAAATGTTCTCCGTCTTATTTTTTTCCATTCACTCGTTCCAACAAGGATTTGTTAAGGCATACTAACTCTGTGCCAGGCTCCAGGCTCGGGGGCTGGGTTATCACAGTAAATAGGCAACTCCCTGTTGCGGGGGGCTTTCTGTTAATGGGGAGTAGGGACAGTCCAGGGCTAAAATATCACCTTTTCCAGAATCGTCTGGTCTTTTTCCAGTTCCAGGCTTCATCTTGGGACTCCTACAGCGTGTTTTAAATCTTTATCCCAGCACATTTCACAGCATACCTTTTTATCATGGTTAGTTGTGTGTCATCTGCTTCTTATAAGGAACGTGTGGGTTCACCTATGCATTGTATGACACACTAAAGAAATTGTTGCATTGGCCTAAATGAAAGGATGGAGTAGTTTTTAAAAAAGTTTAAATATTGGGTGATGAGGTGGGAAAAGGAGATCTTTGTGCTTTTTTTTTAAGACCATATGTAGGTACATATTTGGGACAGTCCAAATGATTAACAACTAAATTAGGAATCGAGAGAGTCCTAACCTTATTTATTCCTTCTGTAACAGTAACTTTAGATGATAAAGACTTTTGAATGGGCAAAAAGGATCCCTGCAGCCTACAAAGACACTAATTATAAGGAAACAGCAATTTACATTATTTATAAGGAAGCTATTTCCATTATTTAGCCCTGCCAGACACAGTAGTTGCAGAGATCCATTCTTTCACTACAGTGGAAAGAATAAAGTGAAGTGACAAGGGAGTAGAAAAGATATTCTAATAGCTGCATCTCATTACAAGAAAGATAACACCTCGGAAATGTTAAAAAATGTTTCGAATATAGTTTAAACTGAACAAAATGGAAGCTTCCATCTTAGCACGACGATGATTCAGAGTACGGCAGCCATTTAAATATTCAGGCAAGCTTTTAAAAACTATGGCAAGTGAAGCATTGTCAACTTTGTATTTGCAAGGAAGAAAATGACTATGAAGCAATGCTGTGACTAAGATGCATAATTCAAGTATCTGAATTTAATAAGTCACATTTTCTTTTACCAGTGACATTGAAATGTAAGTGCCTGCACTCTTAGTAAGGTTGTTTGTGAGAGCAGACAGATCAGGGGAAAAAACCCCAGTTCATCTGTTTTATTTTTCTTTTCCTTCCTCCTCTCTGACCACTTTAATTTAATTTTATCCTGCAGTTTCACTTTCATCAATATAATAGGTAGTACTCAGTGGCAGATTACATCAGCTTTTGATCTAAAATAGCCAAGTCTGTTATGTGAGAACAAGGAGAAGATGAGAAGAGAAAGAATTTACCAAGCTGTTTGTTTTTTTTTAAATAAAAGCTCTCTTAATACTTTTTGTAAATGCCCCAAGAATGAATTACTTCTTTAGGCCTAAATTCTTCAAGGTCTTAACGTTTTTACTGCTCACTTAGAGACAAGATAAAATCTTAATCGAAGAATGATTTGTCTATCCTGACTGGAGAATTGAACTCCTACAGTGAGGTGTGAAGGTACCTCACTGCCTGCCAAGAAGGTTCTTGGGTCATAATTACCTGTCTTGAAGAGCAAAAGATCATTTTCCTTCAAAGAATATTAGAGTACAGTACACATGACATATTAGGCCAGCCTCATAAATTAGCACAGGCCCACAGAGCCTGCAAGAAATTAGGTCAGACCTGAAAGAAATCAAGCTGTGGTCCAATAAGCTTCTTAATCTTAAGTGGGAAATTGGGCTCACAGGGTGTTAGGGTCACTATCTTTATTTATTCTTATGTGTGACAGAACCAGTAACACTTTTCAGTGTTAAAGACCTATTTTTCTAAGACATCAAATATTTCTGTTTCTTCTCTTAGATAATTTTTGGCATTGCATAGTTTATAAAGCAAGCAAGTTCCCTATGAGTTAGAAACTTATACCTTAAGTAAGTAAATAAACTTCCTGTTGCCCATAATATGTAAGGAAAGAAGAACTTCCCTTGCCCCCATATATTTTCCTTAAGGCCTATAGTTTCTCCATCAGAAGCAAGTTTCCTAAAATCTCTGTTTAAAATGCAAAAGTATTTTGAGAGTTAACACTTCAAGCCACGAGTGTGCATTAATGTCCGGCAGTTAATGTTGAGTGAAATGCTTATTAATTTAGAATATAGTGATAATAAGGATGAAATACAAATGAAGAACTATAATGTAACCCTAATTGTTAAGCACAGCCATCATCTCCATAGTTACAGACCTCAAGGTACAAATAGAGGGAAGGGAATGGATCATTTGCATGTACTTAATTTTTTTTTTTTAATTTTATTTATTTGAGAGAGAGAGTGAGAGAATGGGAGAGCACAAGCAGGGGGAACGGCAGAGGGAGAGGAAGAAGCAGGCTCCCTGCTGAGCTGGTAGCCCCATGTGGGACCCTGGGATCATGACCTGAGCCCAAGGCAGAGGTTTAACTGACTGAGCCACCCAGGTGCCCCCCATGTACTTGATTCTTAAACTGGTTGTCAGATATTTTCCTAATTTTTTTTTTATATTTTCCTAATTTTGATTTGATTGATAAGCTTAGTTTTTTTTTTTTGAGGATGGCCAGTGAAACTTACTCATTTTGAGCACAGGCTTTGGAGTCAGAAGGCTGGGATCTGGTCCCTGACACTACAGTTTACTCTGACCTTGGTCCGTTAACTTTGGTTTCTTAAACTGTGAAATGGAGATACTCATAATACCCTAAGTGGTAAAGCTGTTATCATGATTAAATGAGAGATTATGTTTCAAATGCTTAGGACAATGCCTGGCACATATTAATGACCATTATCATCATTAAGTGGTCGAAATGGAAAACGAGTATAGTCTGATTTGTAATCGTAAGTTTTTGGCTCTACTATTCGCTGGCTCTCTGTCCAAAACCTTCTCTCTATTCTTCTGTCATACGGCAGTGCCAGTGAAGATTCAGGGCAAAAAAAAGACAAAAAAATGTGCTTAAAGAACTTGCTGATTTTGCCTAAAGATTTTAAAAGTGTCCTTTGGTTTCTCCTTGCTGTATATGAGAAAATATAATGAGAAAATTTCTCATATAAAAATATGAGAAAATATAAATGAAGATTAAAGGAAAAATTGTTAAATGAAAAGAGATCATTATTGGTAATAATATTGTATTAATAAATATGTAATGAAAAGAGATGACATGACAATTTCATTAAAATATTAAGAAAAAAAAAAGCCCCCAGGAGCGTCGTTTCTTTCTGGGCCGGGTTCTTTCTTCCTTTGCCCTCCAGGGGCCGCTGTGTTTTCCTGAAAGCGCGCTGGACGCCTGGTTGCCGCGAGACCGTCGCCAGGCAACCGCGTGTACACACACTTCCAGCCGGCGGGGGTCTCGTCAATATGGCGGCGCTAGGCACCTCCTCGACCTCTCCCCTCAACCTGTCTCCCACATCCCTGTCCCCGCCAGGACCGCCGCCGACCCCGCCCCCGACCTCGAACGCACTCTCGAAGTCGCCGGTGGAGTCGAAGGAGAGCTCCCCGAGCCCAGTGCCTCGCTCCGCCTGCCTCGAGAACTCACTGCCCCTCGCCGTGTTTTATGGGCCCCTGGACGCTAAAAACCCACTCCTGGCCTCCTGCGAGAGGGAAATCCGGGAATTACTAGGCTTTATGAAGAGAAAGAAGGCGTTAGCGATAACGGAGGAACAGAAGCATGAATTCCACCGGCTTTGGTAAGCAGAGGCAGGGCGCTGGGGAGGGCGCCGGCCGGAGAAGGGCAACTCTTGGGGCCAGAGGAGATGCCCTTAAGGATGCCCACGGTAATGCCAGAGCTGGGTGAGCGTTGCGGACCTGGAGGGAAAAACAAAGTTTAAGAAGTGGAGACTCATCGCTGTTACAGTCCTTAATTCCTGGTAAATGTTACACTTTGGCTACCTGCTCGGGTCAAAATAAAAATCAACACAGAAGTGTTTCATAACTCACCATTCCTTCTGAATGTTCCCCAGTCGCTAAGCTACTCCATGCCAATAAATTTTTGACTCGCTCAGGGGCTCAGGGGTTTCACAACTTTCCATGTTGTGGGTAGAATTTTGTGTATGAGGAAAAAGAAATAACTTTGAGGTAGCTTAGGTTCTTGAAAAAGTTGGTTCTTGATGCCACGAAGTATGTGATTCTGTGAACATGTGCACTTTAATTCCCTTTTATACTTTAATTCCTTTTTATATTGTTGTTAGGGTCACAATGATTTTTTACTGATTTTGTACTCGTTTTGCATACATGTTTGCCTTTTTGGGAGTTCTATCCCTATGTTACTACTGAGCGACAGACTTCCTATTTTTAAGGTTCTTTCCTGATTATTGTTACCATCTTTCTTTCCCAGTCAAAATACCTTGCAAACCGAACAATTACAGATGTAGACAAATGTCAAAGAATACCAGAATAGTGAATAATCTCAACTTTTATTTTTCATTCATGTATTTAATATGAAGAAATAGTTTTAACTTACATTTATTATTCATTAATGCATTTAACTATTTATTGAGCATCTACTATATATCAGGTACCATTCTAGGGACTAGGAAAACACCAAATTAACAAAAGATAGAACAATTTGTACCCTCATGAAGCATATATTTTTTGTTACTACAGACAGCTACTAAACAAGTCAAGAAATCATTTTACAGGGAAAGAAGTGCTAGGGAGAAAATTAGAGCAGAGTGTGGGGATAGAAGATATGGTATGGTGTTGAAATTTAAAATGGGGGTGTCTGGGAGCATGGTCAGATTAAGTCAGGAAAAGTGGCCTTTGAGAAAGATGAGAAAGAGATATAATAGCAAGTGATGAAGATTTCTGTAGGAAGAGTTGGCCACAAGGGAGAATGGCAAGTGTGAGGTTCCCGGGATGGGGTTGAGACTGTGGGAAGAACAGGTTTCTGGTAGGAGAGAGGCAGATCAAGAGTTTAGTTTTCTTTTTGTAAAATATATATTTTTTATTTTTAAGTAATCTCTACACCCAGTGTGGGGATCTAACCCACATCCCCAAGATCAAGAGTCACATGCTCCACCGACTGAACCAGCCAGGCATCCCAAGAATTTAGTTTTAGATATATGAAGACTGAAATGTAATTCAACATCCAAGCAGAGCTGTTGCATAGATAGTTGGTCATTTGAGTCTGGAGGTCAAAAGAGATATGCATTTGGGATTCGTTAGTATGTTATTGATATTTATTTATTTATTTATTTAATTTATTTGACAGAGAGAGACACAGCAAGAGAGGGAACACAAGCAAGGGGAGTGGGAGAGGGAGAAGCAGGCTTCCCGCGGAGCAGGGAGCCCGATGCGGGGC